CCCGCCCACCCGCAGATCTGGCTCCCGAGGATGGTCCAGGCCCTCCTGTCCGCGCTGGCAGACGTGAAGCTCTACTCCTTTGCAAAGCGCCTGGATGACGGCGAGACGGCCAAGTGGGTGGTGAGTGATGGCCGGCCGGGAGGCAGGCCTCTGCCTCTTGGGGCCTTGCTGTGGGCAGCGCCTTATTCTGCAGCAGAGACAAGCTGCTGCGGAGGCGGGGGTGGGAGAGGCGCTGGCCTTCCCCTCCGGGCGCTGGGCATGTCGGGGCTCCAGTTGGGCAGAGCGGCCTGTGCCTCTGCCCACCGCGGCTCTTGTTTGCAGTACTTCTGCCAGCTGTGCTCGTGGTTTACGTGGTTCTGCTGCACCAGAACTCTGACCAACACCATGGAAACGGTTTTCAGCACCTTGGCCCTCTCCTACTACCCGATGGAAGGCACGCAGCCGGGGAGCAGGTGCGAGAAGTGAAGAGGAGGGAGCCCCCTGGGCCCTCGCCCGTGTCCCACTGTTTCCTCCCAGCCCACCCTTCCCTGAGCCCCGCTGGAGGGACCTGGTTTCCACTCTGGTGTCGGTGGGAGAAGCTGCTTGGAGGAAGGCTGCCAGGAGGAGTGGTGTGTGTGTGTGGGGGGGGGTGCCTGCTGGCCTGAAGCCAGAATCCAGCCCGGGAAAGTGGGGGGGGGGGGAAGCACGCGGAGGTTAGGGTGGGTGCCCCTCTGTGGAATGGCTGTTTCGCCGAAATGTGTGGGCCGCAGCAGCAGCGTATGAAGCGTGCAGTCCTGTGCGGCTGAATACGGCAGGGTCTGCTTCCCTGGCAAGCTGCCCCCCTCCTCTCCCCAGGCGGAAGTGCTTGGCCCTGGTGGCGCTGGCCTGCCTCGTGCGCCCCACCGCCCTCATCCCCTGGGCTCCGCTGCTGCTCCGCCTGCTTTGGAAAGAGCCGCGGAAGAGGGACCTGCTCCTGCACGCCTGCCTCCCTGTGGGATGAGAGCCCCTTTCCGGCCCTTGGCGGAGGGAGGGAGGGGTGGCTGGGGGCAGGGAGGGTG